GACTCTGCTGTCTCGCCGACCTCGACGCTCGCGACGCTTGGTTATTACTTTTCTATTCTCTTTTTGTTTTGGCACAAGTTTGCCACATTAAACGTTTCTTTCTTTCTGTTTATTTAGTGTTCCTTTGGTCACCACCCGTGACAATATTGCGCGCGCACCTCGTCATTTAAGGTTCACGAAAAAGAACGACACTATTTGCAAAAAACAGTTGGGGCGCAGGCAGGCTGGTGTAGGTTTACCATTTTTTAGACCACCCGAGAATGGGTGGAAGAAACAAGACGTCGTCTTTCTTCCAGCCAGTCTCAGGTGGTCTAAAAAAATAGTATTTGTGGTTTGTCACAACCCGTTAAGTAATAGACCAAAAAAAATGAAAGCCGTTTACAGCTCCCTCTAACGCCAAATTAGAGCGCAGCTCTTGAGGAGGAGGAAGGGAGGGTACTGAGGGTTACGGGTTCTCGAGGGGGGGGGTCACGTGACCTCGGGGGAGGGGGGCACGTGACATGGGGGTGTGGTCATGTGACCCCCCTGCTCCCCCAAGGTCACGTGACCTTGGGGAGGGGGTCACGTGACCTGGGGGTCAAGTGACCTCGGCGGGGTCACGTGACCTGGGGGTCACGTGACCCCCAGGTCACGTGACCCCCCAGAGAAATTTTCCGCTAGATTTAGCGGGGAAATTTTTACGCTAGATTTAGCGGGGAAATTTTTCCGCTAGGTTTAGTGGAGAAATTTTGGCAGTTTGATACTTTAGACCCATGTTCCGGATAAAAAAACAGGACGCGGGATGGTAAAAAAAACATGCTTTTCGTGCAAGGCTCGTCAAATTATGAGGCGCTGGAGAAATGCAGCCTTCTGCGTTAAGTCCATATTTCGAACTCTTTTTGTTCGCCTTCCGCCCATTGAAAAGCATGCGGGAAGGGCCTTAGAACGCACCTGGTATCGCTGCGCCGCAGCGTTCTTCCGCATCAAAACGTTCGTCTGCTTTCCTGGCCGTCACCATGGCAACGAACGCCGAATGAATAGAAGCACGCACGGTACCGCCGCGTGAAGCTAGCAACAGCTGACGCCATTTTACGAACGCCGTCTGCTAGCCAAAGCCGAACGCGGTGTGTCAGATCAACCGCCTCCGCCGGTGCGCCGCTAGCAAAGACGACGAAGCTGAGACACGCCGACGGCGATCGAGCAAGCAACAACACCGCGGGACGACTGCAACGGCGGCATTTATTCGGATCAAAGGCCGGCTTCGCCGGTGCGCCGCTAGCAAAGACGACGAAGCTGAGGCACGCCGACGGCGAATGGGCGAGCAACAGCACCGCGGGACGACTGCAACTGCGGCATTTATTTTGATCACAGGCGCGAAATAAGCAAGAACAATTTTTATTTGAATCATAACACCCGATATCCAGGTTGGGGACCACATACCTTTGCTGAGTCTTTCCTGTGAACTTTTTACAAAAACACGGGGTGCCGCATTAAAAACACAGCTCCGTTTGCAAAATATGGGGGCCCTGAAAAGGACCGTTTAGACCGCTACCAGAACCTATAACTGACGTAACGAGCACTTGACGAGCGGTTGGCGCATAAGTCGTCTTTATGCATGCAGGCGGGTGACGGACTCAGCGCAGCGGATCCCTCGAAGTCAGTGGGGCCGTCAGAATCCGCGCCCTGTCTGCGCCGGGGCTCTAGATTTTGGCGGCCGCGGCGACGAACGACTGGAATCTATCAGTGTTTCCGCGCGCCTTGTCTCTCCTCCAAAACATGAACCTTGCAAGGTGACCAGTGAAATGGTGGCTCTCGCGCCGGCCAGATGGAAGTGAGTTTTTGACGTGGGCCCAGGTGCAATCCACCGTATTTATGTGCGCACCAGTGTTCGCGTCGACAAAGTTAAGCTTATGGTTGACGGTGAGGTGCGTGAAGCGAGCGTCATCTGCAAGCTTGCGATAGCCAGCCCAACAATCAGTGATTATTCTTCTTTCAGGGCGGACCCACTCGGCTATTAGCCCTTGCAGGGTTTTAGCGTCACGGGTCTCCACGGGAACAAGAAAGCAGCACCCGCTGCAACGTGCCACACCGCCGAAAACCCACTGGCCAGGCCTTAAATACCCGCGATGGTACTCGTGCCGACCGAACATACTCTCGTCTGGTTCTACAGTCACGCCGTCGGCACCAATCATGTCTGAATGCTTAAAGACGGCATTTACCACAACCTCCCGACAAAGGCTCGCCCAATCAGTTATTGTCTTACTTGCGATATCAGCCTCCCGCTGAATGACGGCGCACGGTAGGTTCTGGCATCCGGAGGATGATTTTCATGAGTTGGAGAAGCGTCAGGTGCGTGCGATCCTTCGAAAAGGGAACCGCTCCGTATCGAGACTTCGCCCCGGCACTGAACTTTGACCGACTTCCTCTCGGGCACCTCACGAATCATCCCCCCCCCCCCCCCCCCCCCCCCCCCCCCCCCCCGTGTAGCCATCCGCAGTTCTAGCGCGGACTTGCAGCTTGTCATCTCAGCTTCGCACTCTGGACACGCACGAAAACCCAGGAGCCAGGAGCGGGCAACGCGCTAAAGCAAATTAATTGCTTCAGGAGGGTCTTTCATGGCACCAAGAAGACGGCACAAGTTGAACGCCATGGCACCGCGATGCTCGCCTCTGGAAGAACAAAGCGCCGAGGGGGAACTGCGCGCTTCTTTGCATTTATTATATTTATTTCATCCGCCATTTTATACCTCGTGACACAATTCTAACAAACTCATTGGTTGATCGGTCGGACCACACCATCGCGTGACAAAAAAAAACAAAAACAAAAAAGCCAAACGTATGTCCACGGACGGCATCGTCACAGAGAAGGGAGCACTCGAACCCAACAACAAAATGAAGTAACAAAGTGAATAAAGAAAAATAAAATAAGAAGGGAGCCGTTGGAGTTTCGGACGGCGTCTTCTTTGATGAAAGGAGCTGCTCTGGCTGCTCGGAATATTCCTTTTTGTTCTTTTTCTTACTCTACAGGGTGCCACGACCCTTATTTGAAGCTGATTTGTTAAATTGATAACAAACAACGCGTTGGAACGGAGGAGGTAGAGAGTCTTGGCGTCAGAATTTGACGTGGTAGAAAAGAAAATAACGAATGCACAATACATACCGTATGCCAAGACCGTTATACTCCGCACTTGGCGAGGCCTTATGACGCAGCCGACGACCGTTAGGCTATTTATTTTGTTTCTTCTGATTTTTTATCGTGTCGACTACTCCAATGTGCCAACCCCACGCGTGTCTATGATAAACATTGGCGGCATATAATTGGCTCCAAATCGCGTGGCCGCTTGTTCTGGCTGCGAGTTGAGGGGGTGAACGCTGCTCGTTTTTCTTTAATTTTTTTCTGGGACTTCTATTGCGTGAAGTGAAAAACGAACGCGTGTTTCATATGTCATTAACGTCAGGGATCTGTTCTAAGCGGTATTTGCACAAAGTACAAAAATTGTTGCATCGCCCCTTTAATGTCCTTTAGGACGAAGAAGAAAAGGCCTCGGCTGGGAAGAGGATAATTTAAAAGTCAGTTGTTAGACAGCGGCTTGTTTGTCCAGTTCTTCCCTTCGTGTTTTCATTTTTTCGTGTTCAGCTGACCCGATTGCCAACAGTATGATCCAACTAGCTCAACTAAAACCCGTAGCTATGTGACCTTTCGACACAGCGCTGCGGGCAGCACGTGTGTTGCGATGAAAACGTTCGCAACCGCGACGGGCGCTGCAGTCTGCAAACGAGTCGTTTTCATCGCAACTCTGTGCAGCCCTTCGCTTCCGCCCGACACACGTCCCCTTCCAGTCACCATTGTAACAGTTTCTACCGCGCGAATACAACGGCCTGAAAAACGCAGCCAGCGCGGGAAAACTCTCGGAGGCCATGTCCCCATCGGTGTAGTTCTTAACTTAGCCACAAGGGGAGTGACGGTTTGATGTCCTTCCCACCAGGGCGCTGATGACAAACAATCGAACTGCGCTTGCATATCCATTAATTTTGCTGGATTTGAAGCGCACACGCGTAGGCCGTGCCATCAGCAGGGCAGCCACTGCGACAACACGTCTCTTGGCATCAAAAAAGGCCAAAAGATAGTCAGAACAAACAAACAAAATACGAATACTCTGCTTTTCACCTCATGAGCAAAGGCGCATTCAGCGGTGATTCCTCACGGTTGCTAACTTTACGTTACGAGTGACCAGGACCTTTCTGCTTCGTTCGTCGCGTACAGCGTGCCACGTTTCATGCGCAGCACAAATCACCCGGTGACTCTGGATGAAAGCAGACGCAAGTCCCCATAACATAACGCAACATAAGCAAACAATGGTGCTTTGTGCACGGGCCAAAACCTTTGTCGACAAGAGAAGAGGTTAAAATGAATGCGCGTTTCTGGTCTCCACATACCCATCTAGTCGGAGTGATGTTTTTGTAAAGGACATTTTTGGTAAAAAGGGGCTCGAACGATTTTTTCTCTTTTATGATGCGAAAATACGGAACGCTCCACATGAGATGCGAAGTGACACTTTCTTTTCTGTCGGGAATTCACGGACGGTGGCTGCCAATTCCCAACAAAACAGAAATATGTGCTGGCGACAGAGTTTAGCTTTCTTTAAGAGCAAATAGCTCATAGACGCTTTGCAGCACCTGTGCATGGACGCCGCCATAACTGACCTTCAGTTTTTGTTTCCTCTTATTACGTTCATTTCACTTCATCATTACCATAGCAGGCCAGGTTATTGCCATATTAGATTCAACTGTGTCCTTTTCTAAAGCATCGGCCTTTGTAGAGGATCGTCAACTACCGTTTCAGTTGCTCGGCATCTCGGTGAGACAAGAGAAGGTCAGCTATGGCGGCTGTAATTTGGCGCGTGTGCAAAGCGCCTATACAACTGTAAAAGAATCTCCGCTATAAAACCCGCATATTCATTATTTCATGGATATCACGAACGAGAGGACCTTTTTAAAGGAAAGGGATAAAAAAACTCTGACCCGATGTGTTTCCGGAGAAGATGCCACAAAGCTTCTGCCCGTCGATGTCCAGGTAGTCGTACTCGCAGTTGGTGCTCGATTCCACGTCAAAGCGCATAAAGCGCATCTCGAGTCGACACACCGAAGAACTCATCTTGCGCACCGTGTACCTGGAAGAAGAACCACGCACATAATGGCTTCATGAAGCTCTCTCCTGCACCCGAATCAACGCAAAACAGGCCAACGCAAAGGCAAGCACGCACTTTAGGGATTAGCAAGGCGGTGGTGTCTTGCGTTCTTCGTGGGTGTCGAAAGACAGTCTACGCATACACGAGTCGTGGCATTATGATGTTTGATAAATAATTTTTTGCGAGAGCTAGATTTAAAAACAAAAACGTTCTAAAGAAATACAAAATAAACGTGGTTAAAGTGACCCACGAAAAGAGAGTAACAGAGGAGAAACACGTAGACGACAGACAACAACTTAATTATTTAGTTTTAACAAGTGGAAGTTAGACATGGATTATACAGGGTTTCCTGGATATGGCAGGATGCCTTTATTTAATCTTAGAGTGATGTAGTAAGATACAGTGGCTGTACTCATAATGACTCGCTGCATTTTTTCCAGGCAAAGAATAAACAGATTGCCTTCGAAAAATATTTAAATTGTTTCTTTTTTCAACGCAACAATAAAGCACGCATCGCCGAACACGCAGTACCCATCCAAATTTACTACAGCGGGTCCGGACAAGACGAAACAGTTTCAGACCTAACCATAATTGAATTCAAAATTTATAAGTGATTTATTTTTAGTTTTTTTTTTTTTATAGGAAAAATGTGGCCGACGGAGATATATAACTAACAGGGAGATATGCCTGTTTTCACATTTAAAAATTGAGAAGATCACGTAGAGGTATTGAATAATATAACGGCTGGTACTAAAAAAAGCGATTGGCTCTGAAAGCTCCTTTTGGTGACTTTAATTAGCAATTGCATATTGTAGCTCTGTGCATGTTTTAAAGCGATAGTTTACATGGGAAATTCACTCGCTCGAATTGACGTTGGTGCAGGGCGTCCGTTTTTCAAATTTTCACGTGACGTCATTATGTTACCTGACGCGGTTTCAAATAGCATCGCATGATATAATGTGACGTCATACGGTGCCACATTATGAATGTCATCGTGATCTCCCCTGCCAATGTCTCCTCGGAGAGTGACAACGTCACTCTCCGAAGATACATTGGCGATGGTTTCCCCCCGTAAAGTAGCAGGTAGCACCTTGGTGCAAGATACGTCAGGTTATATTACGGTTCAATAAAGTGTCGCAGCTATCGCTGTCACTGTAGGTGTCATTCACACAGGAATGCTCCTTTTTAGACCTTAGCTCTTAGGCTCTCGTTTTCGGGTTGAGCGCCGTCGGCGTCGGCGTAACCGCGCGCGTTGCATACACTCTAAAAACTGTCACGCTGAACCTCACGCTAACCGCGAGTTTCAAGCGTGAAACCGAGGTCAATACGACGGGAATGACGTTTTAAGCACCACGTGATCGAAAATAAGCGTTTGTTTTCTGTGTCCAAGCGTTAGAGCAGTCCGCTCGGCCTTTTTTTCGGACGTGATCAACAGCGTTAGCGTGACGACCGCAGAACACACGCTTAGATTTTCGGAGAAACGCGCGCGCCTCCATTCATCGTCACGCTAATATATATCCGAATGGGTTCACCCTCCTGAAGATGCACTTGCGCGTGCTTTTTTGTTTATTTTTTGTTGATGTGAGCTTTCTTTTTCTGGAAGCACAGAGGGCGTATGCGCCCTCTTTTTTGGCGGGAAAAGCGAGAAAGCCGTTGCGCTGTTCCCGTTGCTCCCTGGCTCGCTCAGTCATTTCCCGACACGCCTTGTTTGTGGCTGGGGCTGGTGGCTAGACCAGCTTGACTGACTGCGACTTGCGAGATTTAGCGGGAGACGGCGCGTGAGTTCGGGCACAGTGTGCCATGTTTACTGCACTTGACGTGCGTGGAGTGCCGCGGGGTCGCTGCAAACATAGCGAGTGCGAGTGCCCCGAATTCTTACGGGAGACGGATCTGAATGCCAGCCAAGGAAAGGGCTTCCCATTTGGCTGGTGCCTTCACTGCGGCCATTCGCCAGCGATTCATGGAAGACTGCAATATTTGGGTAAGAACCAGGTTTTCTTTTGTCCCGCATTACTGTCTTGATCCGCTGTTTTTTTCTTTTATTGTGAAAGCGCAAGTATCAAGTAGCACAATCTCTACGGTGACGAAAGTAATCCCTGGAGAAGGGGAACAAGAGGGACAAAGGACAAACATGAATCTCCAAACACAGCTAGGTGACTGGTGAGCGACCGAAAAAATCCGCCTGGTCCGGGTATCGAACCCGGGACCTCTCCATTACAAGTGGAGCGCTCTACCAACTGAGCTAACCAGGGGTTAGACGTCAGTAGTGCAAACGGGTTTTATCAGCTGCCACCAGTCGAACACCAACAAGGGTGAAGCTTGCAAGTTATGGTTGTAATTATAATGCAATTAAATGCAAAGGTGCAAGCGAGCTGGACAAGAATGGCGACGTTCCCCTTCTCCAGGGATTACTTTCGTCATTCTTGTCCAGCTCGCTTGCACCTTTGCATTTAATTTCATTATAATAATATCTCTACGGTGTTGTTTTTCTCGAAGCGATGTGCTTTTCAGCATAACTGCCACATCTAGGAAACAGTTTTTGCTGCTTGTGATTGAGCGCGGAATTGAAACAAATGTTGTCTATTCGGAAAGGTGAAGGAATGAACCGTCCATGTTGGGGCGTAGTTGAGGGAGTCGGGCGAGTTTGTTCTCGGCTGTAGACACTGCTGTACACAGGTGAGCTTGTTATTTCAAGTGTTGCCTTTCTGTCGCAAAAACTGCAAAAGCATATTTTGCCTGAAGTCCCGCCTCTGCGTCGGTCTCCCGTGTTGAAAGTTTACGGTTCGGAATCAATTAACGAACACCCAGAATATGGGTGAAGGAAAGAATGGGTACGTGGCAATGTGGCAAGAGAAAAAGGGCGGCAACAGGAAAGAAGGGAAAGGGTACACAACGTTGCATTGTAGGAGGAAAAGGGTCGCAGCGGTGAAGGAGACGCAAAGAATCACAGTAACACGAGAGGCAGCCGCGTGAATCTTTGCATGTTCCGGTGCTTGCAGGCATGTTTATTTTGGTTTTGATCGGCCTCAACCCAATCGTTTCTTTGAGATAAAGCTTTGCAGAAATATCGCGTTAGCTTGAGTGGTGTCGCCGTCGGCGTAACCGTAACGCGTCGGCGTAACGCTTTTTCGTGACGCTCGCAAAAAAATAACCCACTGATTTCAGCGGCGAGTAGAGCACTTTCACAATAAAGAGAATACTTCAAGCACGCTCTAAGCGCACTTAATGTTACACAGCTTTACGAACTAAGTACAGCCTGTTACGAGCGCTTCAATTAGTGCAACGTGGACAATGTTGACGTTCAAGTGTTTATACTCATTTTTGTAATACTAAGATTTTTAGGCCACAATATCTTAATCTTATTGTTAACAGGTTGCACCGATGGATATTCTGGGACCCTGCATTGTGTGGGGCGAAACGAGACGGCTAATCTGCGGCAACGAACCACGAAATAAAATCGACCTGCAACCAGACACGTCTCTCGAGAAAGCGCTGGGGCTATGCCTCTGTGTTTACTACTTAAAGAATGTAACATACCCAGTAGCATTTTGGCAGATGCTTGGTGTTGTACAGAGAGTAGCGAAACCAGCAAGCAGGTCTGAGGTAGCGTGGGCCCAGAAAAGGTTGCGTGATCTTCTCTCAAAGTTGCACTTATCTCGTACAATGTTTTTTTTTTTTTTTTTCATACTTGTTTTTGAGGAATGGTTGGAGGGGAGTTATGTACATCAAAATATTAATAGTTCTAGTCAAGTGAACGAAAGGGCCCTTAATAATGATAAATCTAAGATATGTAGAAAGAAATGGAAAGTGCCACGTGGTCGAATGCTTCAAAACTAAATCTAGTCATTACGCCAATTCAATTTTTGTTAGCAGATGTTGACTTTCCTAACGAAGTCAACATTTCGCTCATTTGAACTCATTTAATATTTATGCCAGTTTCACCTTTGTTAGCGAAGTGTTGACGTTGTTTAACTGGTTGTGTTTCGTTACGAACCATTTTTAGAAAGAAGGACCTCCTTCTTATTCTGTGGTTAATTTCTTTTACAAAATCACAGACTTGCCACCAAGCACAATTTTTCTAATGTACCAATTGTTGTATGTTGTAGAAAATGAACCGCAAATAAGTATGGCACGACACAATTATCACTGCGTAGCTGCAAAACATATGGTAACGAATTATATATTGATATTTTACTAACATGTACTGAAAAAATATATTCTGATTCAAACCCGCTAAAAATTCAAAATATTGACATTCGTTCATATTTGTTTCATGATACTCATAGTTGTTGCAGTTCTTAGCAGGTAGTGGGCTTTATACTTTTTAACGGCTTATTTGTACAAAAAAAAAATACAGATTTTCTAATAAAGAGTTTAGCCCCGAAGCTGAAATTTTTTTGCCTTTTTCTATTTAGTTCTTTTTGGACTCTTCCTCTTGTAATTGGAGTCTAAAGAAATCTCTCTCTCTCTCTCTTCCTTTGGGTTTTTAGACGCCAAAGATAAATTTCCTAAAATATTTATACAAGTTGCACAGCTGTGAACAGCTTGCAGCTACTTAGCGCAATGTAACAGGCATAAGATGATTTACAACTACCATTCGTATATGTGCGTAATCATACATGAAGCAGCACGTTGATCTTTCTTGCACTACTCAATTCGCCTAAAGGAGTAGTTAGAGAGATTTAGTATATCGTTTTTGAGCTCCTATAACAATATCCGATAATAATATGATGCATGGGGGCCCGTGTGTTCATACGCTTATTACGGCGTGCGTTGTCTCCACTCTCAAATAATGACGCCTTCTAGGCGCGTGAAATGTGCGTCGTGGTCACGGTGGTCGTGGTTGAAACCTCTGGCTGCTGACATTGGGCTTTCTCGCATTTAGTATATCGTCCCAATAATCTTAAGGCCCGTTTACACTCTTGCGGCCGAGTAAGACCGTGAGAGACCAGACCGGTTTTTAAGCCTCTTGCAATCTCTTAGGACCAGGTAGCTCTGCTGCAGGTCATCCGGTCCTAAGAAGTCGCAAAAGCTTAAAAACCGGTCTGGTTTCTCTCGGACCTACTCTGTCGCAAGAGTGTGAACGGGCCTTAAGATTATTGGGACGATATACTAAATGCGAGAACGCCCAATGCCCACGGCCAGAGGTCTCCACCGCGACGCGCATTTCACACGCCTAGGAGGCGCCGCGGAGAAAACGCACGCCGTAATAAGCGTGTAAACACAAGGGCCCCCTCACGCCTGCCAAGCGTTAAACCAAAGCACAGTTCACGCTTAGGGAGCGTGAATTCTAAGCGTTGAATAACAGCACGCTTAGAACAAGCGTGTAAAAAATCGCTTTGCGTCACGCCTGCAAGCGTTAAACCTATGCGCAGGTCACGCTTAGGGAGCGTGAATTCTAAGCGTTGAAAAACACCACGCTTAGAACAAGCGTGCAAAAAATCGCTTTGCGTCACGCTTGCTCTGCGTAACCATTTTTAGAGTGTAGGAGACGTCTTCCTCTAAAGTTAGCGGGGAAAGTTTCCCGCTAAAGTTAGCGGGAACATTTTTCCGCTAAATTTAGGAGAAAAATTACCGATAAATCTAGCGGGACATTTTCCCGCTAAAGTTTACGGGAAAATTTCCCCAATAACTTTACCGGAAAAACTTCCCCGCTAGCTTTAGTGGGCTAAGTTTCCTTCTAAATTTAGCGGGAAAATAGACGCCACGTGACCTGAACATCAATTCAGTTTCCCCGCTAAATTTAGCGTAGGAAATGACGCCACGACTTCGTGTCACGCCACCCATGAACAAATTCAGCGGCAGGAGGAGAGGGGGAGGAAAGGAGGAGGAGGAGTGAAGGAGAATGAGGAGGAGAAGAGGAGAATGGGGGAATCGGAGGAGGATGAGAGAAGGAGGGGAGGAAGATAGGAGGCAGGAGGAGGAGGAGGACGAGGGGCATACCCTCCCCGCCGTACCCTCCTTTCCTCCTCCTCAAAAGCAGCGCTCTAGTTTCGCATTACACAGATTCATAAAAGTCTCATTTTTCTTGCAACATTCACGAACTGTGCCCATTACAACTATTTGCGCACGTTTTTGTTAAAAACTTTACAACCGAATGTATAACAAAAAACACCATTTCATCATTTGGGCCCTTAAGCGTGATTACAATTGATTATAATTGAAATATATGAGTTTAGTAATATTGCGCGAGTATAAAATAATTCTTTAGCCTAGGAAAAAAAAACGCTTAAGAAAATACATAGACATTTCTTCGGAAGTTTGGTCTACCAGCGGAACATAAAGCCCTTTCTGTGAACTCTGCATTCGGGTTGGTTACCCTAACTAGGAATCGAACAATTAATGAAATAGCGTTAATTTGCAAACCCGAGTGGAAGAGGCATATCAATATTAACGAACCTCCGCAAGTATGTTTATTATAAATTAAGACCGGAACTGTTTCGAGCAACTTCAGTGCGCCGCTCACCTGCAATCTAAATTGTTGCCATAGTTTTGCGGAAAGTTGAGGCTGACAATCTGGCCTTCAGGCTTGGAGAAGGTCTCGTCGCAGTCCAGGTCGCCGGCAGTGGCCGGCGTGCTGTACACGCTGTCGCATTCGTTCTGCTTTACCACAATGTGGAAACCGCGATCACTCTGAGACTCGTCCGTGTGAAACCGCATCACCTTCTGGGGCTCTTTGAAGTCCATCACACCTGCGGGATGAAGCGCACACAACTAAGTAGTTCCTAGATGTATTATATACGTACACAATAATAAGCTGCAAAACTCGAAGATTTTGCAAAAAAAAAAATTAACATACATTCTTCCCTCTTCTCCCTAGCCGAATATACTCGCTTCCCGTTTTGCATTCGCTCCACCCCTCCCCCAGCTTACTCGTCGGGAGCAAAGATTTATTCGACAGGCACGAACATACACTCTTCGCACTTGACTCCACTCATTCCTGCGTACCTCTGGTGCCCTTCTCCCTCTCTGCTCATGTGCCTTGACCCTTCTGACCAGGACCAGGTTCCGTGGGACTCACCCCGTAACCCCGCACAGCCACAGCATTACGCCCTGCCGCGACTGGCTTTTGCAGTCACCCCTAACTACAAAAGAACGGGCAGCCCTCGTCAACAGGGTCATCAGTGGCTGCCTGGATTGAGGCGGCTGACTCAACCAACGTCACTCGATCAACTCGGTTGGCAAACTCCCTGGCGGAGAGCGTGTGAAGCCTTCTCGTACCCCTCACCCGGGCTAACGGTGTTCGAAGCGCCAACCTTCTTGCTCGCTGCGGCGCGTCTTGCAACAGCAGTTCAAAACGCGGCCGCAGCCTGCAAGAAGGATGACGCTACAAACAGCATTTCTGAATCTAGGGTTTATCAGCGAGAACTGACGTGTGTGAGGGCGTGTTTTAGAAGGGATCACGCTCTCCGCAGGAGTCTGCTAACTGAGTTGATCAGTAACATTGGATTCAACCCGACCATTTTTATCGATTAAAGTTCCTATCGAACTATGTATTTTAAAGCACAACTTGTAAATGTTTGCACCATTTTTAACTTACTTTTGTTAGCAGTTTGCAGAGGCTTGCAGAGGCTGTGGCAAGTGAGAGTAAAGCAATATGGCCTGATGCGCATAATTTCGGCATTAGAAATTTCACCTCAAGTTCAAAAACAACTGGGACGGCACCGAGGAAGTCAGAAGTAGAGCCGATCTTTTAGTCCGGGAGTAACCATAAAGTCGGAAAGAAAATTTCTTGAACCTATCTAGTTGTTTGTGGGTGGGCTGGTTCACTTCAGACGAACGATAATCGAGTTTAGTAAAGCTCTATGGGCATCAGATGACACTCACGTGTCGTTCCCGGCACCACCGCCCCGCAGACTCGGATGTCGTCGATGGCTAGGTAGTCCCCCTGGCAGGAGTCCGAAGGCTGCAGCTGGAAGTCTAGGAACGTGACCTCCATTTGGCAGATGTTGCCGTGGGCACGACGCACGGTGTAAAGACAGTCCGTGCCGTCCTCGTAGTCCGACGGGTAGTTCCTGCTCTCCAGCTCGAACTCCATCTGGGGGAAGACAGGTCGCAGGGTTAGCTGGTGCACCACGGGCACGCATGCTCCGGACAATTAGAACGCCTGAACTTCCGGCATCCCGGTAGCATCTGGAACCTTGGCTGTTTGTCATTATGGAACCAAGAAAGTCCTCAGACACTAAAAATTGAGTCAGATAGAAGTTAGTTTCTGGTGGCAAAACGTTTTCGCGAACGCGAACCATAAAGATCTGCATACAAAACCCCACCGTACTATATCGTGAGGAGTCAAAAAGTCGTAAAACAAAGTTTTGCAAACAATTTAGCCGCTTTTCATTGCAAAGAACACCATGCAGAAAACTACTACATTCGTGCACTTGGGAGCATTTACGAAAGCTGGCCGCCAGGATGCTGCCTCATTTCACAGACTCACTGATGCCGGCTGTTTTGTTTAGGAAAAAAAAAAGAGTTGTTTGCGAAAAGGGAAAACAACTTTAACTATAAAATGCACTAAGGATATGTCCTCTCAGATCTGTAGCGCTTTGCGCGGACAACAGTTTCGTCATCCGTATCCGATCCGCATCGACATACTTTGTTGTCGCATCCGAACCGCATTCGCAAAATTTGGAACCTCATGCGACCCGCAATCCGCGCATTCATGTTACACCACAAAATCAAGTCTGAATAAAATAATAAAAAAAAAAAAAACTAGTCTGGATGGTACCTTACAAGCCATTTGCTTTAAAGTTACTATGCGTATAAATTTATACAAAAAACTCTTCGAGTCAAAATATTGTGAAAGTTATTTTATCGTTTTTGGTTTTATCGTATATAATTGTATATTACCATCGATCACCCTTCCAGAGACACTTTGCGTCGCTGGAAGATGATCGCAGTTATGAGATCGTCCTGGGCGTCTGCGACACTCTCACCGTAAGACAAGCTAAAAAGGATGGACATTTAATGTATTTTTAAGTTTGCTTTGTAACACTCACTTCAAGCAAACACGTATTTTCTAACCATGACGATTAATAAAGAACAGACCAATAACATTGTGTCCTTTTATGTAAATTAACAAAAAAAAATTAGAGGAAAAGTGGTCGCTCACCAACAGCGAATAGTTGTATTCACGTGGTAAGATTCAAGTACACCACTGGGAAAATATCAAAATATTCAATAATAACAACACCTCCTATCGGTATCGTATGAGCATAAACCCACAACTGCGTGCTCCGAACCAATATACTCAGCAGCAACTTGCCAATTGTTCAGAAGAAAGAAAATCCATAAACACGTTTCATTTGTTGAGGACGCATCTACTTTCTTTTGATTGTACGTTTTGGGTTTTCATTGCCCGGAAAAAATTTTTCCGACCTTTCACTGCCGAACAAGAACACGCATTCCAGGGGCGGTTGGTGCCCCTGCACTCTTTAATTTATTTATGAACAGTATTTTTGACGGGACAGAAGCGATCTTAGGACGGAATCAGGTATTTCTTGGGCGTAAAACACAATTTTCACCACGCTTAGCACCTTTTTTTTTTTAAGTGAATAATTTGCTCCCGCAAAACATTCGATGATGCACATCATTATATTACTAACTTATTCACAATACACTCTGCGGTTGCACACGTTTTTGAGCCGTCTCGGCAAACATCTTGATTTGAACCCACCGATATCCGCTTTCGATCCGTATCTGAAGCCCCTGGCATCAGCATCCGTTCCGCCATCCGCCAAATCTGATTCATTTTTATTCGCATCCGACAGTTGACTGCAGACATCCGCGGATGGATCGCGGGTAACCCGCAAATACGCAGGGCTCTACAGATCTGAAACACTCGGTGGTCAGCGTGTTCGTGATACTTAGTCATATACATGATTAGAGAACTGTATTTCCGCGGATTTCTCAAAGATAATTCGCATATATAGGCAGTAATCTAGCCGATGCGGAAAAACATAAATCAGATTTGACGGATTGCCGATCGGATGTGGATTCCAAAGGCTGCGAATGCGGTGCACAGTCGAGAATGAAGACGTGAGTGATACTATGAAGTGCATAATCGAATTTATTGCGGGGAGCAGACTACTCCATTAGATAAAAGGTGCCAGTCGAGGAGAGAATTGTTCTTTACGACAAAAAAGATTTGATTCTCACCGATGATCGCTTTAGAGCGTCCTATCTCGCCAGAAATGCTGTCCGTAAAAAAAGTAAAAATGCAGGAGCCTCAGTCATTTCGGGAAAGTGTGTTCTTGTGTGGCAGGGAAGAAGCGGACAACGATTTTTGGACAAGGAAAAACCAAAGCGTACCAGGCCAGAAAGAAGTAGAAGCCTGCAAGTGGCTTCTTTGCCTACAAGTAGATCGAAAACACTGAATTAGACCACCTGGAGTGGTGGAACCTGCGCCAACACGAGTTTACGTATTTCATTATTGTAGCACAGTCCGTGCATGCCACCCGAGCGTCAAGTGCATCAATGGATAGATACATCTCATTAACTGGTACTAATGCAAAAGCATCAACTGCCCCATGGAGCGAACCAACGTCATCAGCTTTCGAAGCCGCGCCAAACGGCACCTTCCCCTGTCCTAATGGAGCGAAACTTGTCGTCTCTAGCGGAAATCTGATGGATGCGCTCCCATTGGCTGGCGCGCGTGATACAATGAACGAGGCTCCCATTGCCTCTCGCGCGGCGTAGTTCCAAGGAACGCCGCCAGAGAAGACCCCTCAATGGCGGCGCAGCGCACGCAGCGGCCCGGCCGCCGATATGAGGTGCGGGCCTGGCCGCAAAACCCGCACGGGCAAACTCCGGAGAGCCTGCACGGCCGAGCTCAGCGCGGCGCGGCCACTTCACGAGAGCGCGCGCTCGGCCGTCGGCAACTACCTCAACAGCAGCAAAACGTGGCCGTCCACGCCAGTATTCCGCAGACGAACTAAGAGACCGGAAGAACGACATTCAGGCTTTTGCATTCACAATTCATAAAAAAGTGCTTAAACGTCCTAGGAATGTTTCGTTTTTTTTTCGTTTTTTTTTTTTTAAGGTGGGCGAATTAGTTTGAATATGTCCATGTTCACAAGATTATATCTCTAATAACAGCAACCTCGACAGGGGGAACGTTGCGTGTGTGTGCATTTTCTTTTTCTCTGCCCTTGGCACTGAGTTGTCTTTTAAGTATACGGTTTCGAGCACGTTTTTGAGATGTTCGTGTTTAAAACCGAAACCGATAGGATGTGTTGCCATTATTGAATATTGTGATATTTTCCCCGTGGTGGTGCTCGCGCCTTACCACATATGCAATGGTACTTTGCTGTGGGAAGTCAGTGTCTTTGCTCTCCCACAATGTTTTTTTTTCTGCCTCAATAAAATGGCACAATGGTTTTAGTTAGTCATTTGATCATTTTCATGTCTACAAAATAGGTGTCTGCAGTACGTGGGTTTTTCATAGCAAAAAATAAATATTAAAAGTTCCTTTCTTTTGAGTGCATCTTTTGGACAGAGTGTCACTGACACGGACTCCCAAGATGATCTCATAACTGTGATAATCTTTTCGGCGATGCGAAGTGTCTCTTGAGGGATGGTCACTTATTTTGTATATGTGACAAAACACAATACGATAAAATGACTTTCACCGTATTCTGACACGAAGAGTTTGATCTAAAAAGGTAAGCAGACGGCTCATAGGACACAATCCAGATGTTTGTTTTATCCTTATTCATGCTTGATTTCGTGATGCAAAATGAAAGACCGGATTGACGGTGGGGTGCGGTTCCGAATTTCGCGGATGCAGATCGGATCCAGATGGTCGAATTGTTTTCCGCACATGATATACAGTCTACACGAAAATTACGAGGACGATTAAATTTATTCCAACTGCGTTGACCTCAAATCGTCTGTTGCGAGAACTTTCTACTGAGCGCATTTCGTGCGAGGTCGCAGCATTTCCTGTCACTGCTGTGTGGGTTTGAACGTGTCAGATAGCTTAGTTCTGACTGAGGTGCGAGGAATAATGGTTGCTCCACTTGTGATTTGCATAGTGTTGGAGCCATTGTTGTCGTGGTCTGGTGGTCCTTCCGCTGCTGGTATTTATGCAAGATTTCTTTCGGAGTATAAAGACGGTGTTTTGTTGCGAAAAATTCTGTTTAAATTATTAAATATTTTACAAAAGAACACACAATTGTCAGACATAAAGAAAGAGCTGAACGCCGGTTCACGAATAATGACGACATTGAGCGCGCTCGTGCACCAATTCTGATGGATAGACGAACGATGGTGGATGACGTAGCAGATCCTTAGCAAAACAGTCGAGGCATTTCGTACGCAATATTCAACGACACCCTTAGGCTTAGAAACGGTTTTGATTAAAATAAATTCTCCTGCCAGGGTGCGAATAATATCCAGTTGCTCCCGTATTAACACAAGTGAACGACGACTGGAACGATGAAATGGCTACACGCGGTGCTGCGTTGTCGCAAATATACCTAGACCGCAAGTGATCGGGCCCTTCCCATTTTGAGACTCCGGGTGTTTTGGCAGGCGGTTGTCTTTTCAAAGAAATATTTTTCTTTGCTGCATCGGTAGCTTTATCTATAGCTCTTAGCACTTCAACGCCCTACATATATCCAAAAACGGTAAAGCAGAAAAATAAAAAGAATATCGCTGCTCTCAACGAGCAAGCAAACAGAAAGCACAATCACGCATGACCGTCGAAAGCCTGAGGCAGATTAGGGGCCTTCTGAAATGTTGTTTTTTGGAACTACCTATGCGGTCGACCTCCAGAGGCAAGAAATATAGCGGCCGCCAGGCCATCTCGACCCGGTTGTGTTTGCGGGACTGCAGCACCACGTGTCGCCCTTTCGCAGACCCTGCAGTCACTCGTTTACGCTAACCTTTTAGAGTCGACCACGGTGGTCAAAAGTGAAAGACGGTTACAATTCTCTGTAAGGCCGCATTAGAGCGCAGCTCTTGAGGAGGAGAAAGGGAGGGTACGGAGGGGAGGGTCATGTGTGACGTCAAAAGGGTACCATTTTCCCGCTAAATTTA